AGGCTTGCTGATGAAAAAAGACAGGGGGAAAATGACATGGCAAGTGTGTGATGCTCATTCTGTACTTTCTGAATTTGTTAAAAGAAAGACTGCATGTAGCCCTTCATCTAAGTATTGTTGTCAGCCTTACATACTTGTAATTGGAAATCATGTTTGCCAGACAGTCTTTCCCAAACTGGACACAGAGCTGCAATTTTTATTTTGCCAACAAATTTCCCATCTAGTTGGATAATCCGTGCTGCCACCTCGTGGACAAAAGAGCACCAGTGGGGGTTGAAAAGGCAGGTTGAAATCCCTTCTCCAAAATGCTTGGGACCAGAAGTGTTTGGGATTTCACTCTTTTGCATTTTGAAATACCTGTATTTGCATTTATGTAATATTTTGAAGATGGGCCCCAAGTCTATTTTTTTCATGTCAGGAGCAACTTGAGAAACTGCAAGTTGCTTCTGGTGTGTGAGAATTGGCTGTCTGCAAGGATGTTGCCCAGAGGACGCCCAGATATTTTGATGTCCTTGTGTCCCTGCATGGGGAGCTGGAGCTGACAGAGGGAGCTCAACCTGCTCTCCCTGAATTCAGACCTGCAACCTATTGGTCTTCAGTCCTGCCAACACAAGGGTTTAGCCCAGTGCGTCACCGGGGGCTCAAGTCTAAAAATTAAATTCATTTATGTTTCCTGTTCGGTTTATAGTCTGGATGTAATTTTATACACAACATTTTAAATAATGGTGTGCATGAAACCAACTTATTGTATTTTGATCCATCAGAAAGCAACGTTGACACTAGTTCAGTCTCCCATGTGGACAGTTTTGGATTTTGGAGTATTTTGGATTTCTGGGTAAGGGATGCTCAATCTGTAATACCTCGCCAGTTATGATATTGGGGTAGAGAAGGTTTGGATGAGAAGAAAAGAGAAAGTTTGGTTGGTTGTTTTCTTTCAAGTGACAAAATACTGAGTCTGGCTCAGTCCTTGGGCTAGGTCAGTTAATGTACTTTTGTTGACAGTAATGATTTTGTTTGAAAATGGCTCTCCTCGTGGTCTACTTCTGTTTAAATTTTCATTTCGTGAAACTGGCAACATTTTCATTGGTGAAAGCCCTTGGATTGCAAACTTGAAATTGTGACAGCTAATGAAGTGCGTTCCTATATGTATTTCTTTCTACCTCAACATTTCTAATGTTGCCTGATTAGCAGTGTAAAAATATTGTTTCATACCAGAATACTTTCTCATCTTCTACTTAGCATAAATTTGCATAGTTTTAACTAAGTACAAGAGGCTCTAATGAACATTGTTAGTGAATTGTGAAGATGTGATCAGGGCACCAGAAATATTGTCGGATGACACTGAGACAAAGGAGCACTGGGCATTTGGCAGGCTCTGCTATAGCAGTGCTCTCCACTGGATAAGGACATTGTAAAACTATCCAGTTCTAACCCCTGCATAGGGAAGTCCATTTACAGAGACACAACTCTGATACAAGATCCTGGTCTCAAGCAACTGGGAGAAAGGCTATGGTGGAGCCACTCTGCCATTCTTCCTGGACTCCCTAGCTGTTCACTTCAATTGGCATATAGAGCTATATATGCTACATAGCAGGGGGGCCAGTGGCGCAGTGGGTTAAACCCCTGAGCTGCTGAACTTGTTGACTGATAGGTCGCAGGTTCGAATCCAGGGAGTGGTGTGAGCGCCACTGTCAGCCCCAGCTTCTGCCAACTTAGCAGTTTGAAAACATGCAAATGTGAGTAGATCAATAGGTACTGCTCCGGCAGGAAGGTAACGGCACTCCGTGCAGTCATGCCGGCCACATAACCTTGGAGGTGTCTACGGAGAATGACGGCTTAGAAATGGAGATGAGCACCAATCCCCAGAGCAGGACACGGCTAGACTTAATGTCAGGGGAAAACCTTTACCTTTACCTGTGCTACATAACCTATTGGCCTGAACAGGGTCGAGGAAAGTACACTATTCCCACTGTTCATCTGATTTTTGTGCATTTAATGTGGGAAGGGCATCAACTTATCTTTTGCAGAGTTCATTATACTTATTTCTTTAAAAATGCTTTATCACTCAATAAGTCCTTTACTTCTCATTGACGGAGTAGTACAGAAAGGCAACTTGCTGACTTTTAATTACTTTTAAGTCATGGTTACATTATTACAAGGCACGGATGAGCTCCTTCTGTCAGCTCCAGTTCCCCATGTGGGGACATGAGAGAAGCCTCCCACAAGGATGGTCAAACATAAAAAAAACCATCTGGGCGTCCCCTGGGCAACATCCTTGCAGATGGCCAATTCTCTCACACCAGAAGCGACTTGCAGTTTCTCAGGTCGCCCCTGACACACACACACACACACACACACACACACAACTAGACCATTGGAAAAGCTAGGAAAATCTTAATTTTCCCCAAGTGACCAATTCATATATTACAACTGGAAAATTCTGAGGGAGCGTCACAAAGCCATCCTTCCCAGCTGCAGCGCAAAGCAGGCACTCCAATTTCTGTCCTTTCCATTGTTCAGACTGAATTAGCACACCTATCTTGTGTACCTTCATGATATCTCCAGGTAAGAGGCAGGCACACACATGCAAACTCATTATGTTCCATTTCATCAGTGCACAAAATAAATTTCCAGAGTAACTAATGAGAAAAACAAGTTGCTTCCCACCTATGAGCATAATGTCTTGAGCTAGTCCTGCTGACAAATATTTTAAAATAACTTTTCTTCACTCTTTGGTTCATTGGAATGGTTCATGTTGGGATAATTGGAAAGTCGCCCCCCCCCCCAATTCATGGGACATAATTGATCTATGACAACACATATTTATAAGAGTTCTTTCCTATTCCCCTCTCCTGCTTTCAATCCTCAGTCTCAAACCATTCCTTTAATCCTTGGCTCTAATAACTGGCCCACCCCTTTCTGCACTTTGCCTCTGGTGCAAAGAGTAGCTGGCATCTTTCAACATAATGAGAGTCCACCCCAGAGAAAAACAAAACCAGACAGCATGCTAGAGGAGTGGAATCCGCTGGACCTCCCAAGCCATGGAGATGTGGCAAGAGTCTACCCTTTGCCTGGGCAAGATCAAGACTGGATCACCACCACCCAAGTCCCCTGATGGGACCCCATACACAACCAATGCCTGGAGTAAATTGATCACATGATACTAGATCGGTGACCCATGACCACTGTCCCATAAAGTTGTGACAAAATAACAATATGCAAAATACCCTATAAAACATAGAGAGGGTGGTGGGATGAAACTCAGAGCTAGTTGAGGAGCGCTCATTTATATACTAAACAGGGTCTATTAATATAGTAAGTTGCCCAGCCAAAATAGAAACCACATCCAGGGCCACTCCTAAATTCCTACTTGATAGATGCAACTATCTTTCGGGCTGCATAGATTGACAGCAAGCTAGACTATTAATGGTTGGAGCTTACTCTGACCCAGGCTGGCTTCGAATTCATGATCTCTCGGTCCGTAGTGATTCAATGCAGCTGGCTACTAACTAGCTACGCCACAGCCCGATCCTTACTGTAGCTTACCCTTGATTCAAATTCTCATCAGGTACAGAAGTGTGGGACTGTTGCGTGTGTGTTTTTAGCTAAAGCATGGCAACTGACACATAGCCCTAAAGTCTATCAGCGTGTGTCAGGGGACTGTGAGGTATGCTTATGCATGAAATTACAGCTCTGAAACTGTGTTGGAATGAACAATCAAATGCTATTCAATCTTTTCAGGAAAGCTGGAGTCACTTTATTAACTCTTGGAATGGGCAAAAGAGACCTTTTGGCTTTGTCCCAACAGCTATCTTGAACATGAATGGATCGCAATGGCATGATTGTTGGTGGGAGTACGCGGTGACAGAAACCAATGAATTAAAATAAATTTAATTATGAATTAAGTTGGAAGTTTGCCAAAAAGGCACAGCTTAATTAAACTAATGGTTGACTGAAATGGGAATTTCAGCAGTAATATTTCTCTGGAATTAAAATATAAATTTTAACTTAATTAAATGAGCTACAGTGCTAGTGCGCCAACACATTTTTTATTACCCATTCAGTTCTTTACCCAAAACTTGGCTCGCTTGGGTTTTAAACAAAAGGACTTTTTTCAAAGTTCCTGAAGGTTGGAGAATTACAAAGTTTAGGTTACAGGTGGTAAGAAATATTGGACGGGGTGTTTTATTTGTAGTCAGATGTTTATGTTCAACCTAGATTACCCCATAGAGGTGACCCATTTGTCCAATGAAACTGAATGTTGATTCTCTTAAGTTAAGAGTCCGAACCTTGGAACTGGCTGGAATCCACGTGGATGTCGGACATTTAAAGGAGGACAAGCAGGTGAGATTTGGGTAACCAGTGTGATTATTTTCTTAATTAAAAAGGGGGCAGAGGTAGAAGCGTGGCATTTTCCATTATATTTTTGAGTTAAATGCAGTAGACTAGTTAGATGACCCCAGTGGTGCAATGGATTAAATCCTTGTGCCAGCAGGACTGCTGACCAAAAGGTCGGCGGTTCGAATCCAAGGATTGAGATGAGCTCCCGTCTGTCAGCTCCAGCTTCTCATACAGGGACATGAGAGATGCCTCCTGCAGAATGGTAAAACATCTGGGTGTCCCCTGGGCAAAGTCCTTGCAGACGGCCAATTCTCTCACACCAGAAGCGACTTGCAAGTACCTCCTGACTCGAAAAAAGTAGACCAGTTTACTCGGTGTTTTTGTGTACGCCATCATCTGGTAAATGCTTATTGCTGCTTGTTTTCCTCACCCATCCCCACCCAGTTATGACAGTGGTGTGTAGATTGTACAACTTCTTTCTTGATTTAAACTGAATGCTAGCAGAAACCCAGGCTTGGTGACTTGGTGTGTGTGCATTAGGAAAGACACTTGTGAACCCTTGAGGCAATAAAAACATACCTCCAAAAAGCAACAGTAAATAGCTTTTAGATAAGCGCATTCTGTGTATCAATCATATATTTGAGAGCCTGAATACTAACCTGAACCAAGTCAGGGGTGAGGCGTTTTGCTTTCAGCCATTTCTGAAACCTTTCTGTCTTCCATAAGGCTCTCTCAATACTGCAGCTCTTAGTGTGGATAAGGGAAGTACAAATTCTCTTGTCAGATTGGTCGTGCTGATATTTTGTGGTTAATCTGGAGATCTCAACTGGCCGCCAACTTTTGGAATCATCAGAGTAGTTCCCAGAGTAGCAGGAGAGGTAGTTGGGAGGGAGTTTTAAATTGGAAGAAAGCCAGCTGTCAAACCTGTCATCAAACGAAAGCATATGACTCTCTTAGGCCATCTGTCTATCCATTCATCACTTTATTTATATTCACCTTTCTCCCAGAGTCAGACTCTAGGCATCTCAGAAAAGACAGAAAATTGCAATAAAAATACATGCCATAGAAACATATAAAATGAGATAAAATCAGTGTTAAATAACAACAGAATTTGAACCATTTACTTTAAAATAAGGATTAAAACAGCACAGCACTATACATTATTCTCTTATTAGATCAATTTTTGGAGCCCTCAGTGGTGCAGTGGGTTAAAGCGCTGAGCTGCTGAACATGCTGACCGAAAGGTCACAGGTTCGAATCCAGGGAGTGGCGTGGGCTCCCGCTGTTAGCCCCAGCTTCTTTCAACCTAGCAGTTAGAATACAAGCAAATGTGAGTAGATTAATAGGTACTGCTCCAGTGGGAAGATAACAGTACTCCATGCAGTCATGCTGGCCACATGACCTTGGAGGTGTCTATGGACAACGCTGGCTCTTTGGCTTAGAAATGGAATTGAGTCAGACACGACTGGACTTAATGTTAGGGCAAAACCATTGCCTACTTTTACCTGTATCAATTGCTGAAAAAGAAAGGTCTAAACTCACCACCCAAAAGACAAAAGAAAAGGAGCCATCCTAGCTTTCTAAGGGCCCTTCCACACAGCCCTGTATCCCAGAATATCAAGACAGAAAATCCCACAATATCTGCTTTGAACTGAGTTATCTGAGTCCACACTGCTAGTTCAAAGTGGATAATGTGGGATTTTATTCAACTGTGTGGAAGGGGCCCCAGAGTGGGAATTCCAAAGCATTTCATGTTCACACCGATCATAACTGTGATGGCAGATGGATAAAGAAAAATTCCCTCCAACTCTAATGTTGCCAAATTCTCAAAGTTTCTGAACAGATAAGATGGCCAAACATACCCATTTTTGTGTGTATTTGACTTGAAGATTTGACTGGATAATGGATTTGACTGGATAATACACCAAAAAGAGACATTATTTTCATTACAGGAGACTGGAATGCCAAGGTGGGAAGTCAAATGACAACAGGGATCACAGGCAAGCATGGTCTGGGAGAACCAAATGAAGCGGGACGCAGGCTGATAGAATTTTGCCAGGAAAACTCGCTGTGTATAACGAATACTCTCTTCCAACAAACTAAAAGACGGCTTTATACATGGACCTCACCAGATGGTCAACACCGAAATCAGATTGACTACATCCTTTGCAGCCAAAGGTGGCGGACATCCATCCAGTCGGTGAAAACAAGACCTGGGGCTGACTGTAGCTCAGATCACGAACTTCTTATTGCTCAATTAGAATAAAACTAAAGAGATCAGGGAAAATACACAGACCAGTTAGATATGATCTCACTAACATTCCTAGCGAATATACAGTGGAAGTGAAGAACAGATTTGAAGGACTAGATTTAGTAAACGGAGTCCCAGAAGAACTATGGACAGAAGTCCGAGACATTGTTCAGGAGGCGGCAACAAAGTACGTCCCAAAGAAAAAGAAAACCAAGAAGGCAAAATGGTTGTCTGCTGAGACACTGGAAGTAGCCCAAGAAAGGAGGAAAGCAAAAGGAAACAGGGATAAGGGGAGATATGCCCAGTTAAATACGCAATTCCAGAGGTTAGCCAGAAGAGATAAGGAACTATTTTTAAATAAGCAATGCATGGAAGTGGAAGAAGACAACAGAATAGGAAGGACAAGAGACCTCTTCCAGAAAATTAGAAACATTGGAGGTAAATTTCAGGCAAAAATTGGTATGATAAGAAACAAAGATGGCAGGGACCTAACAGAAGCTGAAGAGATCAAGAAAAGGTGGCGAGATCTGTATAGGAAGGATAATAATATTGAGGACAGTTTTGATGGTGTGGTGAATGAATTAGAACCAGACATCCTGAGGAGTGAGGTTGAATGGGCCTTAAGAAGCATTGCTAACAACAAGGCAGCAGGAGACGACGGGATCCCAGCTGAACTGTTTAAAATCTTAAAAGATGATGCTGTCAAGGTGATGCATGCCATATGCCAGCAAATATGGAAAACACAAGAATGGCCATAAGACTGGAAAAAATCAACTTATATCCCCATACCAAAAAAGGGAAATGCGAAAGACTGCTCAAACTTCCGTACAGTGGCCCTTATTTCTCATGCCAGTAAGGTAATGCTCAAGATCCTGCAAGGAAGACTCCAGCAATACATGGAGCGAGAGTTGCCAGATGTTCAAGCTGGGTTTAGAAAAGGCAGAGGAACGAGAGACCAGATTGCCAATATATGCTGGATAATGGAGAAAGGCAGGGAGTTTCAGAAAACATCTACTTCTGCTTCATTGACTATTCTAAAGCCTTTGACTGTGTGGATCATAATAAATTGTGGCAAGTTCTTGGTGGGATGGGCATCCCAAGCCACCTTGTCTCTCTCCTGAGGAATCTGTACAATGACCAAGTAGCAACAGTCAGAACTGACCATGGAACAACAGACTGGTTCAAGATTGGGAAAGGCGTACGGCAAGGCTGCATCCTCTCACCCAACCTTTTTAACTTGTATGCAGAACACATCATGCGATGTGCGGGGCTGGATGAATGCAAAGCTGGGGTGAAAATTGCTGGAAGAAACATTAACAACCTCAGAGATGCAGATGACACCACTCTGATGGCCGAAAGCGAGGAGGAGCTGAGGAGCCTTCTAATCAAGGTGAAAGAAGAAAGCGCAAAAGCCGGGTTGCAGCTAAACGTCAAAAAAACCAAGATTATGGCAACAAGAATGATTGACAACTGGAAAATAGAGGGAGAAACCGTGGAGGCCGTGACAGACTTTGTATTTCTAGGCGCAAAGATTACTGCAGATGCAGACTGTAGCCAGGAAATCATAAGACGCTTACTTCTTGGGAGGAGAGCAATGTCCAGTCTCGATAAAATAGTGAAGAGTAGAGACATCAGACTGGCAACAAAGATCCGCCTAGTCAAAGCCATGGTATTCCCTGTAGTAACCTACGGATGTGAGAGCTGGACCTTAGGGAAGGCTGAGCGAAGGAAGATCGATGCTTTTGAACTGTGGTGTTGGAGGAAAGTCTGAGAGTGCCTTGGACTGCGAGAAGATCCAACCAGTCCATCCTCCAGGAAATAAAGCCCGGCTGCTCACTGGAGGGAAAGATAGAGACAAAGTTGAAGTACTTTGGCCACATCATGAGGAGACAGGAAAGCCTAGAGAAGACAATTATGCTGGGAAAGTGGAAGGCAAAAGGAAGAGGGGCCGACCAAGGGCAAGATGGATGGATGGCATCCTTGAAGTGACTGGACTGACCTTGAGGGAGCTGGGGGTGGTAACGGCCGACAGGGAGCTCTGGCGTGGGCTGGTCCATGAGGTCACGAAGAGTCGGAGACGACTGAACGAATGAACAACAACAAGGCAGAAGATCCTATTCCCCCCACCTTTTTGTTCCTTTCCTTTTTGTTTTCACTGTACACACTATTGCCCATGGAAGGAGATAAAAGGCAGCAACAATAGAAGGAATGCATCTCAAAAACTCAGTCAATCATTATAAAGCCAATACATCTGCAGTGGTTATCGTCCGATGTAGGCAATCCATAGAAAAAAGAGAATATGAGAAAACATTGGACACAAGAAAGAAAAGTGTCCCTAGACAATTGGAAAGTTCACTTCTTTTCTCTCTCTATTTCTAGACAATTGAAAACAGCCGCAAACCTAATTGATATATATTATTTGTGGCTACTGATGGGTTGGTGTGATCAAATAAAATTCAGCATGTCAGTCAGGCACTTTGGTTTTGCAAATGTTTTTTTCTTTTTTGTCCAATTCAGAAACTTCTTTCTCTTGCCTTATTATTATTTAGGTAACCAGTCCTATTTAATTCTGTTCCCCTACACTCACCCTAAAAATATTTTGAATGCTTTTTAAAAGTCAAAGATTTTAGGTGTGGGTTTTTTTTATGTTAGAAGAGTCTTGAGAAACTGCAAATCGCTTCTGGTGTGAGAGAATTGGCCGTCTGTAAGGTCGTTGCCCAGGGGATGCCTGGATGTTTTACTATCCTGTGGAGGCTTCTCTCATGTCCCTGCATGGAAAGCTGGAGCTGACAGGCAGGAACTCAACCCATCTTGTAGATTCAAGCTGCCGACCTTCAGGTCAGCAGTTCAGCCAGCACAAGGGTTTACCCCATTGCGCCACCATGGCTCCTCCTAAGTGTTGGTGAATCTGTGGCATTTGGTCTTTAGGTCGTGTCAGGTCGTGTCAGGAGCGACCTGAGAAACCCCAAGTCGCTTCTTGTGTGAGAGAATTGGCCGTCTGCAAGGACGTTGCCCAGGGGACGCCCGGATGATTTTTGATGTTTTATCATCCTTGTGGGAGGCTTCTCTCATGTCCCCGCATGAGGAGCTGGAGCTGATAGAGGGAGCTCATCCGCCTCTCCCCGGATTTGAACCTGCGACCTGTCGGTCTTCAGTCCTGCCGGCACAGGGGTTTAACCCACTACGCCACCGGGGGCTCCTAAATACCAAGGTGAAACCATCCATATGAGACATTTTCAGTGACTACTGTTCAAAGTGTGCACATGTGACTTCATTGGCTTTGAAATGATTTTACAGGAGGCTACATACTTTAATGGGAGTTAGGGCTACAGCAGCCCAGTGAAAGTGGAAAACCTGTAAATAAAAAAAAACTCTATTATTTTAGACTGTATCTCAGTGAACACTACTGTAGAAATCTCTAGATTCTCCAGAACAACTCTATGGTCAAAATCCATTGGACAATGACCATATTCATGCTGGCAAACCTAGACATTCCTAGAGAAAATGTATTAATCATGTCTGTGAATAATTGCATCTACAAAAGTTAAACCTGCAAATGTGGAGGGCCAACTATATAAGAAATATTTTTAAACTGGTCTTAATCCATAATTACAGGCACAATTTCAAAGCTCACATGCCTATGTAGAGAATATTTAATCCATTCTAAGTAGAA